TCAGCTCAAATATACATATTTCAATCCCTTTAATACTCTTAGCTCTCATACACTTACTTAAACTAATTATTATCCATTCAATACCTCTAAAACTAAGAAAACTACTCATCCATATAGAATTGAAGAATCTTACTCCAATTCCAACTTGTTCTAATTTCAATTCTATTACTTCATACTTCTTAATTAGCTTATTGACAAGTCAAAAATTATTCAAACATCAAAAACTCATCCATATCAAAATTTCATCTAAAAACTCATTTTCCAAATCTATCTCTAAAACACTTATCTTGTAGTTTTAATGTCATATAAGCTTTCCTTTAGCTTATATAACATCCAAACTTTCATTTCCAATCTTAAAAATCAAAGAAACTACCAAGGTTCAGCTTCTTACCTTTACTTGCAAGCTCCACGTTTGGAGAAGGAAGAGAAGAAGATAAGAAAGAAGGAAGAAGAAATGAGAGGATTCTGGAAACCTAATGCCCACGTGGGTTCTAATATAATCCCCAAGGAATATTTAATTATTTCATTTACTCAATTACTCTTTTACCCTCTTAATTCCCCTTCTTTATAATTCAATCCTACACCAAATAACTCAAATAGATCATTACACTCTTTCATCATTTTACTTAAATCACCAAATGTTGAAACTTTGCAAATTAATCACTAACCCGGCATGGAGGATGTTACACTTTTCATATACACTTGGATGGAACCATTATGCTTCAATTGTTGTAGCTTTTTCCGTGCCTCAAAGTTCGGCATTCTTGGGGTAGAATTATTCCTTGAACTCCACTTTGAACTCCTCCCATTTTTTCATTGGGATCTCTTGGTTCTTTTCCTCCGAGCATCTGTGTCGCCACCATAACAGAGCAACATCAGTTAAATAATTCCGCATTTACCTTAGTGCCTTCATCCTCGATACCCATGTCCCAAAAGTATTGCTCCATACTCCAAATAAAGTTCTCAACTTCATATGCCGAGCGGGTTCCCCTAAACTCCTTTGGCTTCAGAACATCAATCCTACGTTTTACCGTTTGTGCTTCTCCTAGCGTCCCATTCATCACGGCAGCCTTGTAAACCGACACCACACTCATCATGTCCGCTTTTAAGGCCAAGAAAATGCTCTCGAGACCCTTGATCTGCTCATCAACCTTCTCGGCCATGTCATTGATGACTCCCTGAGTCTCCGCATCGAGACTCTCTTTAGCGGCCTCCAACCTTAGGATGCGTTGAGACATATCCTCCATAGTGCTCTTGACTTCACTCACCTCTTGCCTTAGAGCCTCTACCTCAGCCCTAATTGACTCACACTCTCGAGCCGTCTTGTCACTAAACTCATCGAGAATCTCTTGCACCTCATATTGGGTCTGGCTTTTCAATTCCTCCAACTTGGCGATCGTTTTCTCCAAGGATGAAATAACATCCCTAGACTTTCCTCGCTTCTTCTCAACAATAGTACGAGTCTCGACTCCCACAATAGAAACTGAGACCTCCGGTTTTGTGGTCCATCTCTCTGAAAATCGGGTTGAAAACTTGTCATTTACCGCAACGAACTTGTTCTGATACCACTTGTCATCCCCTTGAAGCCTTAAACTCAGGAACTGCGTCCTTAGATGCTTTAGAACCAATATTGGGAGTTTTGCACCTAATTCAACCTGAAAAAACTTTAAACTATAAGGTTTAGCTCAACAAAGAAGCACACAAGAACTATAAAAGGAGATAACTCACACAAACAAAGAGAAAGAGTTGAGTAAATGCTCTTTGTATTCCACTAAATGAAATGAAAAGTGAAGTGAGTACAAATGAGGTGGAAAAGACCTCTATTTATAGTTGAATCCTCTTACAATGGACGGCTAAGATCAATTTAGATTAGTGGCTAAGATGAGCCCTATTAATTACAAATATTCCTATATAAGGAAACTCAATCAAATTAGCATCCATGCAAAATCAATAATCTCATTTTTTCCTTTGATTGAAGATCTCCTCGGATATGGAAAAATTTCTCCATAATCCTCCTTGATATGATATTGTTTCTTGCCATATTCTCCAAGCTCTTGTAATCATCTTCGGATATGATGTCACTTTCCATATTTGCAAATGGACTCCTTAACTTTTTTAATGGATTGGGCCAATTGTGATAGATTAGTCACGTCCAACACCTTATTGAGAACCTCTGTCCTTGACTCAAGCACACATGGCTTGGACTTTATCTCTAGAGCGTGACAAAATATTTAGAGTTTTATTCATTAAAACATTTCGACAAAAATACTAGCCAAAGGAAAAACTCATGAGCAGGATGAACTGGACATAATTGTTCAAAGGTACTAACAACATAGTTTCATTCACTGAAAATGCAACTTAATTAATAAATCTAATTCGATTCGATTTAGTCATAAAAAGTTAATTTATACTCAATTTGAATCTAAAATTGATACATACCCAAAAAAATGGCTTGGACTAGAAACTCAAATTAAGTATAACTTTAAAATATATTTTACTTTATTACTGGTGTAATGTAAATAACTGTTTTTATTAATATAATACGTACAATTCCTACCTGAACAAAAATTTTAAATTAGAGCAAGATGATATGGTATAAATTTTTTAGAGTTCGAATAACTATTTCATATCGACGGCGGAAAAAAAATACCACAAACAAAGTTGTATTAATGTGAAGTTTATTTTATATTAAAAAGTGAAAATGAAAATGACATATAACATCAATACAACTATGCTTGTAGAATATTATGTCCGTTTGGTTCTAGAAAATATTTTTTTATTTTTAACTTTTTGAAAATTAGAAAACATGTTTGATTAATATAAATGAAAACATGAATCTAAAAATAAAATAATGAAAATATATTTGGTATCTAATTTTTAAAAATAAAAATGAATAAATAATTATTAAAATATTAAATTAAACTATAATTATTAAAAGTTGCATTACATTAATTATTAAAAATATATTGTGCATCGATTAAATTTTAAAAATATAAAAAATAATGTTATAAGCAAGTCACACAAAAGTGTCATGAATATAAAAATATGTTTAATGGTAATTGACACCTTCAAACTGTTGGGGAAAAATAATTAACGTAGCTCTGAACGTTTTTTGCACTAAAAAAATTAATCTAATCATTTGAAGAATGGAATCAAATGTTGACCATCACGACGTTTACATAGCAGTTCAAAAATTTACATGACAATCTACAAATCGATGTAAGAGTTTGCGATATTATTGTAACAGTACACGGTAAACGATGATGAGGTATATGGACTTAATTGTTTTTTTTTACTAAGTTTGATGATGTAATTGATTTCTTTTAGAAAGTTTGATGAATTATTTATTTTTAAAAAATAAAAATTATTTCAATAAAAAATATAAAATATAAACAATTATTAAGATATTCAATACATTAAACATACAAATACTATAAATTAAATTATTAAAAATTTTCAATTGATGGACTAATTGAGTGTAAAAAAAACTCAGAGGTCATATTGATTTTTTGCAAAAATTTGAGAGTTTCATATACCATTAAGTCAAAAAATTATTATTAGAATGATCTGAGCCCATTTAAGTTGGTTACAAATCTAGATCTTATGTTTCCTTATTTTTTAAATTTCCAAAACAATTTTAATAAAAATACTGAAAACATCTTCACATTTTCACTTATTTTTGTTTTTATTTTTCAGAAATCATTTTTCAATTTTACAACCAAACATGTTTTCTTCAACTTTTTCTATTTTCTAAGAAAATAAAAAGGAAAATAGCCTATATTTTCTAAAACCAAACATGCTCTTATTTTCTATCCAAAATGCATGAGATTGTAATCTATAGAGTTAATTTCACCATGCATCTTTAAATTATAGTTTAAATTCTAAATTAATCTCTAAACTTTAAAATATTTTAAATTTATCTGTAAATTATCAATATCATTTCAAACACGTCCTTCTATTTGTTTAACAAATTATTTAAGCATTAAATATCAATTTGGATAGAGATGGAGCATATTTAAGATTTTTAGATCAAATTTCAAACACATGTATACATGTTGCGTAGTCAGGTTGGCTCTGTCATATAAAAAAATTAATTGTCATTAAAATTTAATAGAGTTAATTTTTAACGCATCACATTCAAATTATCTAAAGTGATACACAATATTAAAATTTGATACACGTGTATAAAATAGGATCCAAATTACAAATGCAATACATGATTAATGATAAAAATATCATATTTAAAATAATTTATATTTTAAATTAAAATAGAATCACTAAAAATAAAAATTTATAAATTGAAATTATTCAAATTTAAATCAAAACTGACCTAGTTCTTATAAACAAAGTTATCATGCCTATTAAAAAACGTGGTATTGTGTATGCTAAAAATATTCGTTTAAATAAATCTTGAGTTCGAGTTTTTGTGTTTGCTTAATATCGCTGAAATATGTCTGAGTTTGAGGCCTTGTTTATATAGTAAATTCTCACTAAGAGATTCACCTATTAAAATTAGATGTTTGAATCGATTCATATTAATCACGAGGGCAAAAAAGAAAAAGAAAAAATGGGCATTGAAAATGAATTAGACTCAAATAGTCAAGGGAGTTGTTCGTGTCTAGGAATTATTCCCGTGAACAAGCAGAAGTTAAATAGAAAAACCGCTAAAAAATGTGAAAAATTTGTCCTTAAGCGAAACACAATTGAAAATCAAGAACCCTAATTTTGTCTATAAAATCTAGATGCCTAAACTGGATTAGAAAACAATCCACTAAAGTAAGAAAATGCAGACCCCCTACACCATTAATTTGAAACTTATCTGCTTCTGCCCTTCCATGTTCCCTTAAACTCGAAATTTTAATCCGTTCTTCTACTCTCACATGCCACCGTTCAAACTTTGGGAAAAAAAGACAACTTTGATTGTCTTCTTTCTGCCATAGATTCCACGTTTTGGATTTAAATACCCCGAGTTTTTGCAGCACCGTGGAGTGAATTTGAGAATGGGGAATTCTTGCGGAAATTCCATCAGGGTTTTAACCGATGCTGGTGAAATCATCGACGCTAAAGGGCCTAAACTTGCACGAGAGATCGTGAACGATTTTCCCGGGTATGTTATTTGTAGAAAATGTGAAGCTTCGATGTTCCCGTTAAACGGAGATGAATGGTTGGTTTGCGGCGGATTTTATTATCTTCTCCCACTGGAAAAAGTTGGGAATTATGGTGGAATCGCAGGAGGGTTGTCATCGGCGGCGGGTTTCGTGGAGAACTTGTCAGCTATGGAAGTGTTGCCGCGGAAGAAGAATGGGGTTTGGAAAGTGAAACTGGTGATTGACAGTCACCAACTGGAGGATATTTTTTCGGAGCAAGTGAATACCGAGGCTTTGATTGAGAAGATGAGAACGGCGGCTGCAAGTTCGGCCACCGTGACGCCGAAACGGAGCAAGAGTTCTAGGGGGTGGTGGTGGTGTGCAAGCCCAGCATTGTCAAAGCACCATAGTAGCTGAATACCTTTGATCTCTGCCCCCGGCAATCTTTTTTTTAATTTTATTTTTAAGTTAATTTCGTATGAGGCTCCTAAATTCTGATTATCTTTATAAATTAGTTTTAAAATATTTTATTTCAATTATCATATTATTGATATTAAATTTTACAACTTTTGAGTTTAAATCCTAAAGCATAAATGTTAAGTTGACTCTTTTTTTCTATCAAAATATTATGTTTAATCAAATTATAACACATGTCATTGGTTGATTAAAATATGTGTTATCAACAGTCTCTAAAATAGTATTGATAATTTAAGAGTTAAAATATAATATTAATTATTGAATATTATCAATGAAAGGGAAAGAAATATCTTAGATTTTATTGATAATTTACCTTATTACCAATTTTAATGCAATACCTTATTTGGCCTCTAATTGAGTAATCCCCATTCAAGGAGATAACTTTAATATAATGCTAACCTAATATATTTGTTAATAGGCTTAATATAAAAATAAATGTCTAAATTATAATTCGAAAAACATTTTAGTGATTAAAGAATTTTTTTATTAAAAAATAAGTGTATAACTAAGGTTGTTTAATGAGTTGAGCAGCTCAAACTCGACTTGATCAAAGCTCGATAAAATTCAACTCGGGATGACTCGATTCGAACTCGATCTCGACTCGAGACCTTAACGAGTTTATTCGAGCAAAGTTCAACTCAACTAGATAAGTTCACGAGCAACTCGTTAATTTTTTTCTATAATTTTTTCAGTAGTTATCTTAAAAAATTATTTCTTTAAAAAAATTATTTTACTAATAGATAATAGAAAAGATGATAAATTACTAATCTATTAATTTTCTAATAAACAATAAAAAAATAATAAATTATTAATTAGTATTTTACTATAATAAAAAAATCAAACCATATTTGTTATTTAATGTATTTGTAAATTGTTATTTTGGAGTTTAGAATTTTAATTTTTTTTCATACACTCTTTTGATAATATTTTTGGTTAAATTTATTAATTTATGTTTTATATTAAGCTCTACATAGTATTAGTAGATTTTACCTATAATTAAGAAAATTAGATAAAAATTTCAGTGAGCTTAACGAGCAATGAGTTGAGCAATAAGTTTATTTAACGAGCACGAGTCGAGCAAAAATTTGACGACCTTAATGAGCAACGAGTCGAGCAACAAATTTTTTTAACGAGAACGAGTCGAGCACTGCACAACTCGCGATCGACACGCTCAATAAGCACCCCTATGTATAACCTTTTTTGTTACCATTTTAGGCGCTCAAATGTTAACCACTGTTATAAATCTCTGTTACGTGACATGTGTGACTTTCTGGTAGTTTTGATAATTTTTATTTAAAATTAAAAATATATATTAAAAAAACCTTAATTTTTTTCAAATCTTAAAAAACCCAAGAAACTTTTAAAACTTTAATTTTAATCCCGTTGCCACCGCCGACTGCCAGTAACGTCATTGATCGGTCGAACACCCAACGACGTGTGACCTACCAACCAACCACGACAAAAAACCCATACTTTCGCAACCGATCGAACACCTAAAAATGAAGTAAATGAAATATTTTGTTTTAGGGTTTTGAATCCCTTATGTTTAGGAATTTATAGATTTAGGAGAATTTGGTGTTCGATCGGTTACGAAAGTATGAGGGTTTCCGTCATGGGTGGTTGGCTGGTCACATGTCGTTGGGTGTTCGGCCGATTAGTGGTGTTGGTTGTGGTCGGCAGTGACAAAGGGATTAAAATTAAGGTTTTAAAAGTTTTGAGTTTTTTTTGTAAGATTTGAATTTTTTTAGGTTTTTTCTTATGTATATATATTTTATTTTAAATAGAAATTCCTAAAATTATCAGAACGTAACACGTGTCACTTAACGGATATTTTTAATAGCAGTTAACGTTCGAACACTTAAAATTGTAAAAAAGAAAATGTTAAACACTTTTTTAGCGAAAATTTTTTTAGATACTAAAACGTTTTTCGAGACATAATTTGAACACTTATTTTTGTATTAAACATTGTTAATATGGATGAATTCAGGATCTCAATCTAAGAGAAATAAAGTATAGCTTTTTTAAAAGTGAAGAGGTAATTTATAATTATCTTATAAATATTTAAATTATATATATTAAATGTAACTTTTTTCTTTCTGAGATTGAGGGAAAATCGTCCCTATTAATGTAGTTTCATACTGTAATTATTTATCAGGAATAAATATATATTTTTATGTTAGATGAGTGAAATATAAAATTTTAAAAGACGAAATTAAATCGCCAATAAAATATATGAAAGTAATTAAATTATATAAAAAATTTAAAATTTTCAAAGGACAGTCTATTTCTATTTTCTCAATCCATCCATGTCGACAACAGTACACATTCGTTGATGGTAAGCGGGTAGATGTGTCTTCCATTGGGGTGGATAAAGTGTGAGATAAATTGCAAGTGAGACAACAAGGAGCAATTAAAAGATTTGCAGAGGTGATGCATGCCACTCAAACTCTATAAGTTTAGGAGCAAGGAAGGAGAGTTTGTGTTTGTGTATAATCATATGAATACACTGTAATGCTAATACTTTTAAGTTCACGTGCAACGATTTGAATTGAACAAAATCCAACAAGTTCCTGGTTAATGATTTCCAAATGCTCAATGCGTGATGTAGATACCGTCTGAAATGAACTCATCACCACCCACATTGCAATGTAAGATTTTCAAGCTTAGGCTCCTCGTCCAACCCATCACCGCTCACCCTGCCAACACTCTCGATCATGAATCCATCACCAATCACATTGTCGATACTGGATTTTTCGAGTAGGCACACACCTTTAGATCTCTGAATTATCCCTAAAAAAAAGCAAGAAACTGGTGGAGGAACTTATGTATTCTCAGTACGGATAATGTTGAGGTCGAAAATAAAAAGTGTCAAATTGATCATGAATGAATTGAGAAGATTAATTGGTGATTGAATTTTCAAAGTTACTAAATTTTTATACATTATATTTTTATTAATATTTTTTTTATTTTTTTTATAAATTTAATCTTTCACATAAAATTTTATATTCATACTCGAACATACGTAAATTACGCAAATTTCCACCGCATACCAAAACTTTTAGTAGTGTGTTAGTCATCTCATAGAACTTTAGGCACTCATGGGAAGCGTTAAATTCAAGCACAGAATGATTATTTTAAGTCAATAATTGAATGACCCCACCCCACTCCAAAACCGCGATTTTTGTTTGACCTACTTATCAGTTATTACATCTAATTTCAAACCAAAATTAAACCTAAAAAAATGATACACTCAGAGAATAGTGCATCATTTCCAATTAATAATACCATTTTTATGAAATTATATTAATTTTTTTTAAAAATAAATTATTAATAAAAATATAAAAATTATATAAAAAATTAAGGGTGAAGTACACAGATATAAGATATTACTTTGTCGAGTTCACTTGTTATTGAAAGTTACAAAATAATCCTCGACTATAGAGAGTTGTTTTGTTCAGTCACTCGATTATTAAAAATTATAGCACGATCACCTGAAAATTCATTATGTTTCAAACTCGTCTTTTTTCATTAATAAAATAACAACAGTCTGAGCTGAACGTTAACATGCCGACTGAGATATGATAAAATCTGATCTCATAATCTCAATTGACTATCATATCTCAGTCAACATGTTAACATCTAACTCATATGACCGTTCAAATTTTAGCAGGAAAGGATGAGTTTGGAACATAATGAATAGTCGAGTGATCAATTTATAACTTTTAATAGTTGAAAAACTCAATAAAGTAGCTTCCTATAATCGATGACCATTTTATAACTTTTAATAATCGGGAGACTAAACAAAACATAACCATATAGTTAGGAGATCATTTGTATACTTTATCCAATTCTTTTTTTAAATTAAGATCACATCTTATAACATCACTCTAGTTATCTATACCCAAAACCCTTTGGCCTTAACCAGATATTTTTATCGAAAAAATATTTTAGTTAATAATTTATTGTAATTATATATATTTATTTCATGGTATTATTATTAAAATATATTTATAAGAAAATCCCCTAGAACTCTGCGAAAACCCCTCAATCGAAGAAAATACCAAAAACCCATATTTGTTTGTGAAAGTAGAAACCAGATAATAAAATTTTATTTGAATCAGAATCTGATTACAGAAATGGCGGCTACCGGAAGTGCCCCGTGGCAGCCACAAGAGGAGGGGTTGAAGGAGATCTGTGGACTTCTGGAGCAGCAGATTTCACCATCTTCTTCGGCTGATAAATCTCAGATATGGCAACAGCTTCAGCACTACTCTCAGTTCCCTGATTTCAACAACTATCTCGTTTTTATCCTAGCACGAGCTGAGGTTCGCTTCGTTTTCTATCTCCGTTTGTTTCCTCATTGACTAGCTTACAGATATTTTATTTTCTGCTAGGTTTTTTGTTGAGGAACTGGATTATTGTTATTGATCAGGTTATGTGTTTATAGAGGAGATACGATTGCTGTTGTCTTTTTTTTTGGGGGGGGGATTTCTTTTTATTTTATTTTATTGGATTATGCTTCTATTCAATACTAGAATTGGGGTTTTTTAGGGTTAATTAAACTGTAATAGAATTTGCAAAGATTGTGCATTTCTTTGATGAACTACATTCCGGGTATTTTATTGAATTACACCTTTAAAACTGAAAATACAGTTTTGTGCCCTTATAAATGTCTAATGCAAGAAATCAATATTCTTACTCTTGGATGTATTAGGAATACCTGTTTGCTTTTATGTGATGATAGAATTTTGTTTCATTTTTGTTAATTTATGCAGGGTAAATTAGAAGCCTTTGGATATACTATGAGAATCTGTTTTCTTTGATGTGCTAATGAAACTTTGTTTCATTTTTGTAAATTTATGCAGGGTAAATCAGTAGAGATTCGACAAGTTGCTGGTTTGCTTCTGAAAAATAATCTAAGAACTGCTTATAAGATAATG